ACAATAGGAAAGTGACTCTCATCTGTGTGGCATATAAAAGGTTAAGTGCATTTGCTACTGCAATAAAGGCTACTTTTATAAACAATAAAACCTCATAAAACAAATTAAAGCCATGTCATAAAATGGGAAATAAAAGGCAAATTCTCTGCTATACATTTGTGCAGAATAAACCGTTGGCATAGTTTTTAACAAGCCAGTCAATAACAAGTTTGTTGTTTATATTATAAATTTGAAATTATTATAAATCTGAAACAAAGTGCTAAGTAATAAATCTACAAATGCAGCTGTTGCTTCTGCAGTAAACCAAAATCTTAAACCTCACATCAGCTGTTGAGAAGTTTAATTGTTGTGATTTTTTTTTTAAAAAATCCTATTTTTTTCAATGCTCTATAAAGCGCATCATAATCATAACCATAACCAACAAAACACAAATCATGGGCTGTAAAAGCCCTGAAGATTAAGATACAGTTTTAAAAGTTAGGAAAAAGGCCCGGATCATTTTGGTCCAATAGAACAGACCATAGTTTAGAAATGAACTTTGCTATAACAATAAGCACATCATCTAAAAAAAAAAAAACCCTACAAGTAGATCTGGCCTTAGAATTAGACCAGTGGTTCTCAACCTTTTTAATGCCGCGACCCCCAACCAGTTGTAAGTCGAGGACTAAACTGGTCGTAAGTCGAGGACTAAACCGGTCATAAGTCGAGGACTACCCAACGGTCGTAAGTCGAGGACTTTCCCTGCCCGGGAGCGCCGCGCATGTGTGGTTCCGCCCCCTGCGCCGGTCGAGGCGTAGCTGGCAAGCAGCAGAGACGGAGCAGGCTGACCACCAGCTGGCCTAGCCCAAGGGAGGTAAGGCACCCGCCGGAAAAGGGGAAAAAATGGCGGACAGCCTTGCTTGGCGACTCCCGTGAAATGGTCGATCGACCCCAAATGGGGTCGAGACCCATAGGTTGAGAACCGCTGAATTAGACATAGGGAGGAAATGGTCTCAAATGGCAGCAGCTGAAAGGCTTGCTGCCTTCAGCTTTAGTAGAGGACAACCAAATTTTTTGACCGTGTGAGATACAATATCCAGTTCGGTTACCATGTGTGTACACTTTTAGCTCCTTTGTTAGGACCGAACATTGCCCGAGGTAAACCATCATGGAGGTAGTCTACACTCCAGCCACTACCAGCCACACCAGCCACACCAGAAGCAGTTAGATGGTTAATTTCCTTGGATGTATCTTGTTGTAACTCTATGGTGCCACATTATGGCAATTTTATCCTAATTTAATATTTTACCTCATCTATTGTATTTGTGTTTGTATGTATAATGTGTTTAATTAGTGTTGTATATCAGTTATTGTGTGATCTCTGTAGTTGCCGTGTGCTAAATAAATAAATAAAATCGGTAGACTCCTTCAACTTGAATTTAACTGGCTTCATGGACCTGTCCACCAATTTTCTTGACAATGCTATGGAAATGGTTTGCTGTAGCAGGGAGTAGCTAGCCC